CTGATGCTGAGATCAGACACACTGATGCTGGACAATAAACTGTTTCCTTTGTACCAGGACAGAGTCACATGACCCACATTCACCACTGAACACACCAATGAACAATTCTGCTGTGAACAGTCTCTGATAATGTCAGGAGTCGGCAGATGAGCTGGAAAACAAGAGAATGAACAGAAATATGGATAATTCTAAACTGTTATTTTCGTTGTGGTGTGTCACCAGCATTTGTGGTGCATGATGTTAATTACCACAAAAATTGTATTTCCAATTGTCTAGCAGAAAAGCACAAATCTGGGTTATCCATTGAAATGCTTATGATGGAGGTTTACACTGTTGTCAATCCCCCATTCACTTTCATTTCAAGTGCCTCACTGTAATGTCCATTAAAAAAGGGATGACTCAGAATTGTTTGTGTGTATGTGTTAATCAAACTTATGCTACAAATGCAGTCAAAAAAGCTTAACTTGTACTGAACCCCAAATATTCATTTAATTAAACAAGAATATGTGGACATTCTGACAAATGATCTTTACTCACCATAGACAGAAACACTGAATGTTTTTGTTGTTCGTTTTGCTCCAGTTATCTTTACTTCATAGACTCCAGCATGTTGAGTTGTGGTGTTTGTGATGGTCAGAGATCCAGTCTGTTTGTCCAGCTTCAATCTGTCTCTGAATCTCCCATCAAGAACATCATCATATATAGAGATCTTATTAACCAATCTGTTGATCTGAGCTATACGTGTGCTTTCAGGTCCAAACGTCCACAGTATCAGATCAGCTTTCTGTATTTCAGTAAGATCAGTATATAAAGTGACAGAATCTCCCTCCATCACTGACTTCACTTCATCCGTATAACCAAACACACCTGCAGAAGAGAGACCGTTTTAGAGATTTAAGCTGAACAAATTCAACTGAGATCACTGAGTCTTGTTTAAGGATTATTATAGTCATAATGTATGGTGCTTATAGTATGGAGAAGAGTGGTGTGTGGATATCAGATCTTCACAGGTTCAGGCCACATTTCAATTCCCGCAGGGTATTTTGTGAAAACAGGAACAACAAAATGAAAAGTGGCCATAAGAAAAAGTGAGTTGCAGTTAAGATAACTGAATATTGAGTTAGTGAATATTGGACAGACAAACATCAGCACAAGCATGTTTTGAGTTTAAGCTCCATAAAACAGATCAAAACATTACTTCAGAAATTGAATATGTTAATATTATATTAAATTCAAATCATTTTTAGATATTTAAGTATCAAAAACCATTTAAAAATCTACTCACCATCCACGAGTAACGTAACAAAAAATAAAACAAACGCCTCCATATTTCTGTGAGTAAAAGATCAGTAAAAGTTGTCCATTGTAGTTGTCAAGCCGTTCTGGGTCTCAAAGCGTCCAATCAGTTTCTAAACGAGCTAAACCGCAAGGTGACAGCAACGATTCTTAACATAATTTCACTTTTACACGTGATTTTGTCATATTTAACCGACTTCAGATCAGTAGGTCGCGTTTATACGAATGAAACGCGAAATGTTCTTGATTTAAATGCTGGGAAATCAGTGGGCTAAATCCGATCAAAATAAGGAAGTAAATTCATTGAAACTTCCCAACGGGATCTGTCATGGACAACATTGCAGATCTGCAGCGCCAGAAACTCCCACACCGGTACAGTTCACACACCTCAACTATCAAACGATATAAAACAGTGAATGGGTGTGTTAGAAAGTGTGTCAACGCCACCACAGCAGGTTAAAGTTCAAGGTATTATTCAAGTTGTATACTACCAAGATAATTAGTCCTAGATTATATAGTTATTTCATAAGACAAGCTTTTTTATTATTATTATAAAGTTAATATTTTGTTGTTAATGAGTTTCGGTTTCAGTTCAGTTTAATTTATTTATATATATAGCACATTTAAAAACGACAGAGCCGACCAAAGTGCTGCACAGAGAAGTAGAATTAAGCCAATAACCATAAAACAAATTTACAATAAAAAGGAGACAGAAGTAATACACAACACTAAATATACACACAATAAAACTATTTAGAGTGTCAGGACGCCTTGATCTATATATGAAAATATGGGGTTCTTTTCTTGCATTGATTGAGAAAATTTTATAAAGAGATTAAGTATAATGTCAAATATGCTTTGTCTCCTTAAGAGTGTATGTAAAGTCTAAGATGTCTCGGTGTGTCTAAACCCTAAATATGTATATATTTTATTTGTTTTTTATTTATTTATTTAATTATTTATTTATTTATTTATTTTTTTTGGGGGGGGTCAATTGTTAAATGTAATTTTCATATGTCATACTGTCATATCTCTGACTGTCTTTGTTAAGTGTTACATTAGGTCAGATCCATTCAGAATAGCTAAATCTCTGACCACCGCATAATGAGCGTTCATTATAAAACACTCTTGCTTTTAAGCCAAATACACGCTGAAAAGAATAATGTTTACTGACATCTGGACGTAAGTAGTAAGTCACTATTCTATCCGCAATCGCTGATGAAATCGGCCGTGTTTTCTCTGCATTAGCGCTGTTGGCAGTTTACTGGATCTTTGGACTTTCCAGGAGTTTACCGGTTTAAAAAAGATGTGATCGCAAAAGCCTACTTCTTTTCATTTTAAGATATTATTTTCGTTATAAAGTACTGATTCAAATTAGTAATCAATAATTAATTATTATTCTACTACTCTGCGCGCCTCCACTGACATGCTCTCGCGCCCCACACACACCGCTTGCATTCAGTCACGTGATTGGTCGAGATGAGAGGTGATCCCGCCTGGGTAGTGTGATTTAGCCTATATAGTGTCCTTTCTAATCATATATGGGATCATATAATCACCCAGACCCTGACGCTTTTACTCTGAGTACCGGCAACATGTCAGAAGTGTTACTATGTTAATATGAAGGAATTTTCTGTATTCATTTTTCCACAGGTTTTTTACCTGTATTTTTAATTACGCATTGTATTTTGCGTTTTACAACGGATAATGGATAACAGATAATGTCCCGGAAAATTACTACCTTTTCCATTTTTGTAGATATTTTTCTTACAAGTGTACTAACTGATCAACAATCGCAGGTACAAAATTTGTAAAAAATTGCCAAATACATTTAAAAAAATAGCTAAATTTATTGCTAGTTGCTTTTGGAAGAAAAAGTTGCTAGAGTAGTCTGAAAAGTTGCTAAATTTAGCAACAAAATTGTCCGTTTGCATTCATTCACGTGATTGGTCGAGATGAGAGGTGATCCCGCCTGGGTAGTGTGATTTAGCCTATATAGTGTCCTTTCTAATCATATATGGGATCATATAATCACCCAGACCCTGACGCTTTTACTCTGAGTACCGGCAACATGTCAGAAGTGTTACTATGTTAATATGAAGGAATTTTCTGTATTCATTTTTCCACAGGTTTTTTACCTGTATTTTTAATTACGCATTGTATTTTGCGTTTTACAACGGATAATGGATAACAGATAATGTCCTGGAAAATGACTACCTTTTCCATTTTTGTAGATATTACTCTTACAGTGTACTAACTGATCAACAATCGCAGGTACAAAATTTGTTACAAATTGCCAAATAAATAAAAAAAAAATAGCTACATTTATTGCTAGTTGCTTTTGGAAGAAAAAGTTGCTAGAGTAGTCTGAAAAGTTACTAAATTTAGCAACACAATTGCCAAGTTGGCAACACTGGTAATGAAGAAACCACCCCTGGTTGCAGTTTAGCTGCTTAACAGTCACGTATTTGTGTGAGCTGGGGTCGCTAGAGAGCCCGATCAGCGTACAGAAGAGCAAGAATGGCAATAGACTTCCTCGAGCTCACTTGATATAACAAGCAGTGCACAAAAAATTCACTTGATCAAGAGCACCCGAGAGTATATCAAATTAAATACATTTCATGTTTTGTCTTGCTTTAATAATTATACTTGCTGAAGTCCACAGTAAAAAAGGGAGTTATATTCTGTTCTCACACATTCTGGGGATTTTAAGTATAGGCCTACTACTGTGTGTGGATACAAAGTAAATTTAAAAGCAGCATAATTTAAAACCAAGTCAGCACAATAATCATCAAACTTTTCAAATGACATTTTCATATTGTCTTAAAACCAAAGGTCTAATTATGCAGCTTGCTAATAGTATAAATGGTACTTTATTTAAATGTCTTTTTTTAAGCATTCTAAAATTGATCCACAGAAAGTAGATGTTTTTCTCATGCAGAAAGAAACATGTATGTGATTCACTGAATGTGTGACAGTTTGTGAGTCAAAGTGAAACCTGTTGTGGTCTCATTTATTTAACTGGAACAAGATGTGGTTTCATTTGTTTGGTGGACAACTTCACTTGTGCAAGAGAGTTCGCATTATGTAGTTTGTGAGTGAAGGGTTTCTTTTCTTTTGCTGACATGAATATCATCGTCTGAATTCCACATCAAACAAAACTTGATGATTTATTTACCCAACATTCACTCAAATATTGTGCTGTGACTTCATTTCACCTTTAAAAATATGTGATACAGCAAACAAGACCATATTAACTACCTGTGTTAAAGAAGGCTTTCCGCCAATAAGAAGTTACATGCTGCATATATTAAAACACATGTTGTGACTCCAACATAACCACTGCAACCACAGCTAGTATGTGCAGACTAAGGTGTCACATCCTGCCAGGGGAGGATTCAGATGCAGCGACTGGTCACTTTGCGTGTGTTTTGAGTTATTGACTGTTGGGTGAGCGACTTAAAAATGGTCCATGCGTTTGTTTTGTTCTGTTTGTCTTTGTTCGGTCATGCTGGTAAGTAAAAAGCTATTGTTGAAATTAGCTAAGGATTTCCATTGTTAGATACTAACGAACAAAATGTCTGTTTACACAAACTCTAATCATGTTTATACATTATAGTGGCTATTTTAATAGTAAAAAAACAATAAAAAATTTAAATGATTTACCAATTGGATAATTAAACAATTTAAAAGGCTGAACCAATAGGAAGTTACTTACTGTATGAGTTCTGAATAACTAAATAACCATCGCTGTTTGTTCGTCAGGTGCGTTTGGTGTTGAGACAGAAGAAATGAAGTCAGTGTCAGTGATGGAGGGAGATTCTGTCACCCTACAGACTGATACTGAAATAAAAAAAGATGATCTGATTCTGTGGAGATTCGGAGACGAAGACTCTCCCATGGCTGAAGTCAACAGATCAGCCCAGATCATCTCAGTGTCTGAAAGTACCAAAGGATTCAAAGACAGATTGCATTTGGACCCCCAGACTGGATCTCTCACTGTCAGGAACATCAGAACCGACCACTCTGGAATTTATAAAACACAGATCATTGGAAATAAGATGATAAGGAAAACATTCAATGTCACTGTTTATGGTGGGTTAAGAACTACAGACTCGACACACAAATCCAGCTGACTTTATTTGTATTTGGCACTAATTTATATATTTCTCTGTTGTCACATAAGCATCTGCTCAACATAAACTATAAATTATAACAGTACATATAACTTACAAATATTATAAATATCAATTACATTGTAGTCATTTAAAGGAATAGTTCACCCAAAAATGAACATCTGTGAAACATTTACTGACCCTCACGTCATTTATGAGGTTGTTTCTTCATGGGAACAGATTTGGAAAAATTAAGCAATCCATCACTTGCTCACCAGTGGATTCTCAGCAGTGAATGGGTGCCGTCAGAATGAGTGTTATTATGGATTATGGACTTATATTGTGGCCAGAAGCAATGGTTTAAAGTTAAAAAGTCCTAATGATGGATTTGTTTTTTACAAACACAGTTTTTCACTACAATATGTTAATTGATGGACTGGAATTAATGTGGACTACTTATGAATTTTTTTTTTTTATCAGCTGTGTTTGGACTCTCATTATCACGGCACCCATCCATGGCTGAAGTTCAAGGTCAACAATTTTTTTTTGTCAAATTTCATCTCTTCAGTATAAATAAATCAGTAAAATCCTATTAATAAGCTAACTGTACTGTAAGGTACCTTACCATGTACAGTTAAAATTTACAGATTTTACAGCAAATCTGTGTTTGCATTGTATATAATGGTCAGAGGTTTACCCACAATTTACAGAACACTTACTTTAAAAGAAAAAGTTTATTATTATTATTATTATTACATATTTTGTC